CAAGCAAACCAATCATTTTTCAAGTCTGCAGTTTAACACTTGTACAATTAAGAAGTTTCATCTTCCTAAGACTTCTTCAAAATTATGGCATTCACTTTATTTTTCTCTATAGTTCCTTTCTTTGCTGCAAAGACTCTAGCTGTCACAATGCTTTTCAATAAAAATTATTCAGCTAATTTTAAAACATTGATTTGTCTCTAAGTTTATGTTCTACCTCTTGGTACAATATAACGCATAAAAATCTTCCACCTCTCCTCCTAATATCCATTGCTTTGCCCAAAGGAAATCTAAAACAGGTAAGTGTATTACCATCCAGGTATTGCAATTTTTAGAAATACATATGCACGCTATAAACTTTTCATTATAATTTAAGTTTACATGAATGGAATTACATTATGCCAACTGCTTTGTTCCTTGCTTATTCTATTATCTTATGGACATCTTTCCATGGTGATTAGACAGTTTATCTTAAACCTCATTAGACAGTTTATTTTGTAAAACAGTTTAAATCAGACACAAGTTTAAATATCAGAAATTATAAAAGCAAAGTAAAAGACAGACATTAGTTAGCAGGGACATAGATTTTTCTCAAAGTGGGAGGGGATGAAGAGGTGGAGGAAAGGGAAAGAAAAAAATTAATATGAATTATGTAGTTATAACAATTCCACATAAGCAGTGTAAACATTATGTACTACAAACACATACTGATGAAAGTTAATTTTTAAAATTTATAATATCTCATATTCTCCTCTTCCCCTAATAGTCAGACACACACACCAGCATCACGAGAAGAAATCCAGGTCTGAAGTTCTTTAAAACGAACACTGATCAATTTCCTCTCCTTCTACAACTCCAGTGGAAGTCATTTTTCTTTGCACATCTTTTATTACCTAGAGGGTGCCTTCATGTGTTCCTGCCTGGAGCTCGTCCTCTACTACCTGAAGCTCTTTCTACTAATTATTAAAAAGAAATAAGAAAGAAAGAGGAAAAAAAGAAAGAAAAAAGAAAAGAAAGAAAGAGTAGAATTCTAGATAAATAATAGATGGTCAGTGTCTTTCAGCAAACTCTTCCAAAACGACTATCTATGCAATCACATTCATCAACGTGAGTATTATGCGCTCAGCAGATAGTTTAATATGAATTGGGGCCTCCCCTCTCCCAGTGTTGTGTGCAGGAAAGTAATGACGGGGCAGATCAGCGTTTAATGCACTAATCTGTACAGAGCTCCTCCCAACAAAGCCTTAATTATTTAGATGGCCTTGAAGGAAGCCAATGATCTTGATACACAACGGTGGGGGGGGTGTTAATGCGTAACTCAAGGGAGCAGGGAAATCACGCATTAGAGGGGAAATGAACGGTCAGCTCCAGGCCAGAGCCCCCGAGTTCCAAGTTTCTGGCTGAAGCAAGTCACTGGGCACCAAACTGAAGCTCTGGGCATGTGTGTGAGAGGGGCTTTGAGGAATAGTGTCCACCCTAAGCGTTTCTTTTCGTAGGTCTTGAGTGGGGGTGGCCTTTGTGAGTCCGACTAAACTCCAATGTTCAGGTTCAAGAGGGAAGGGAGACGCGGGGGGGAGGTCACAAACGACCTCCTGCAAAGCGCTCCAGGGACCAAACCGCTGAGGCTTCCCTCACCGCCCCAGAATGAATACTTCACACAACTAATTAAAGAGTCCTTGAGAATAATTAACATCTGTGCTACCAGACAGCTTTGCCTCAGGACCATGAAGAAACAAATCCCAAAGTGCGGGGTACACAATAGGCCGTGCATGCCTCGGGAAAAAACGTGTCCCCCTGTAGATCGGCGGGCAGACACGGTGCCAAGGCTGAGATACATTTCCGAGGCCGCTGGGAGGCCGTGGGGTGGGGTGGCGTGGGGATCCTGCCGCGGTCCCTGGGGTAGCAGAGGACTACAGCCCTGGGGCTTTGCGACGAGCCTCCCACCTGCTCCTGTGCCCCTCCTCCTGTCTCCCGTTCCGGGGCCACTTCCTACACGCACCCCGCACACACGTGCACGCATACACGGACGCGCACGCGCACATGCAGAGATGATACTTGATAAATTCTGCATGGGAGGAGGAACTGGAGGAGGGGAAAGGAGAATGGAAAAGAGCCCCCCTTATAATCCCTGTCAGGAGAATGGAAACGGAGTCGGAATCCATTAAAGTCAGATTCAGGTTAAAATTCTGCTGTGCTGTAAATCCTATACCCATCATCCTGGATTAATGAGAATAACCTATAATTCACCACAAGCTTACTTGATTTCTAAGGCATCCCTGCTTCAGTTCTTCTTTGTTTTAAAACTAGCCAGTTTTTTTCTCTTTACATGTAAGTATACATACACATGATATAAAGCAGACCAGTCATTATCATATATAGCGCACAAAAATAAAACTATATTTCAGTGTAAGTATGAAAAGACGCAGAAAGTATGCGCCTGCAGACAGAGTCCAGAGAGTGACGCATTGCTGAACCCCAATGCTTTCTTTATCTTTTCAATTCTGTACCATGCTCACCTGTTAGGAAGCAAAATGAAAAACAAAGATCACAAACTTTTGGTAGCAATAATGTAGACCTCCATGACCGAAGATCTACAACCAGTCAGTTAAAATGCTGATGGCTTGACAAAGCAAGGCTTTTCCTCTCATTCACCTCAGAGATCAACTGGGTGTCCATCAGGTGACCTTCCACTGCTGATGCAAGGACACAGGCTTCTTCTGGCTAATGGTGTCCCTGGGCCTATGCTTGGCATGTCAGTAAGGAGAGAGAGACAGGGAGAGGGAGAGGGAGGGGGAGAGGGAG